GATTTTCAAAGTTTCCATCTCTAAGGGGCTGAAATGTGGACGCTAAGTTTGTATGGAAAAAATATTTCTATTGTAAACTGAAATTTTTACGTGAAACTTGGTATTAATGTTTTTCAACACAAATAATAATGGAACACGAATTTAAGCATTTTCCGAGATTGAGCCCCTAAGGGAGTAAAAAGGGGTTTGGTTAAGTTCGTATGGGAAAATATTTTGATGGTGATGTTTACTTAAAACTTGGTATCAATGCTTTTCAGCACAAATAATGAAATACCTCTCCCATGCTTTTTTTCTTTAATTCCTTGTATCTTGTATCCACTTTATGTTTTACAATTTCCTTTATTACTTCTTCTTCTTTTCCTTTTATACTTCGTATTTTCCTATACTTAATATATTTCCTTCGTTCGCCCTTTGCGTTTGTATCACATTATGCATTTTTTTTTTGTTACCTACGTGTTTTATTCTTGTTGTGCGCCTGGTGCGTCCTATTTCCATTTGCCTTACTATTGCTTCTAGGGTTTTTGGTTCCATTTGGGTTCTTTTGTTGTTTTCTTTCAGTCTACCTTCTTTTTTCCCCATAGCTATTATACCTACCTGTTTCTTTTTCCTTACTCTTTTCTTGTGCCGCCACCTACCTGTCTTATTTTTTGGTGTATTTTTAATTCCCACTTTGTTAAATTCGTTATTTATAATAAGTACGTATGTAACTTTTCCGCCATTGTCTTCAGTTTATTTTTATTTGCAAAATTTTCTCGCGTTGCTTTTGCATACTTCTACATCTTGATCGTCTCTTTGATTTTTATTCTTATTTTTACTTCCCGAGCGTAAGCAAAGGAAGTATTGTAATCGAGTCCGTCGGCCGACTCTCTACTTTTACGTTTTCTCGATCTTTCACGACCCCTAGAAGACGAAGAAATAGGTCTCCCATTTCCGTCTGTCTGTCCGTCTGTCCGTCTGTCCGTCCGTCTGTCCGTCCGTCTGTCCGTCCGTCTGTCCGTCCGTCTGTCCGTCTGTCCGTCTGTTGTCCCGGATTTTTATTAGACAGATAATCTCCGAAAGTACTCGACCGATTGTTGTGAAATTTTGTACTTATATTAAGAATATCATGTAGATGGTAAAACGCTAACCAAAATTTGTCTAATCATCCACACCACTAATGCGATGACGTCACTTCAAAATTGTACATAGTAAATGGGTTTTCAATTGTATAAAATAACATAGTCCTACACATGTAGTTTACAACTCTGAATCGACTTTTCACCCGAAACGTCCAGATTTTTGGAAAAAAAATCAAAATTATAAAACAACATTTTGAAATTTAATTTTTAATCTGCTAACCAGAATGCTTTGAATTGTTGCAGATGTTTTAAGGCTATAAAGAGCATCATAAATCTTTAGTCAAAAAATATTTGCTTATCCCCTCCAAAAACTTGATGACGTCAGCTCAAAAGTTTGTGGAATAAATCATATCTAAAATGTACAAAATATGATGAGTCTGTACTTGTGATCTATCACTCCATTCATATTTTTTGGATTTGCATATACAGGGTGACTCAAAAAAATTAATGAATGCGTAAATATATTTTATTGATTTAATCAGGAACTACAAAACCGAATGCTCTGAAATCTTGCAGATGTTTTAAGGTCATAAAGAGCATAATAAATGTTTAGTCAAAATATATTTGCTTATCCCCTCCAAAAACTTGATGACGTCAGCTCGAAAGTTTGCCGAATAAATCATATCTAAAATGTACAAAATATGATGAGCCTGTACTTGTCATTTATCACTCCATTCATATTTTTTGGATTTGCATATACAGAGTGACTCAAAAAAATTAATGAATGCGTAAATATATTTTTTTGATATAATCAGGAACTACAAAACGGAATGCTCTGACATCTTGCAGATGTTTTAAGGTTATAAAGAGCATAATAAATGTTTAGTCAAAATATATTTGCTTATCCCCTCCAAAAACTTGATGACGTCAGCTCGAAAATTTGCCGAATAAATCATATCTAAAATGTACAAAATATGATCAGTCTGTGCTTGTGATCTATCACTCCATTCATATTTTTTGGATTTGCATATACAGAGAGAAAATAAATGAAAGCGTAAATTTATTTTACTGATTTACTCAGGAACTACAAAACCGAATGCTCCGAAATCTTGAAGATATTTTAAAATTATCATAAGCATGGTAAATTTTTGATCAAAACGTATTTGGTCGTCCCCCTAAAAAATTTATGATGTCACCACAAAATTTTGCTGAAAAAATCCTATCTAAAATGTACAAAATATGGTGAGTCTCTTCGTGTGATTTATCATTCCATTCAAATTTTTTCGATTTGCATATACAGGGTGACTCAAAAAAATTAATGAATGCGTAAATCTATTTTATTGATTTAATCAGGAACTACAAAACCGAATGCTTTGAAATCTTGCAGATGTTTTAAGGTTATAAAGAGCATAATAAATTTTTAGTCAAAATATATTTGGTTATCTTCTACAACAAACTGATGACGTCAGCTCAAAAGTTTGCCGAATAAATCGTATCTAAAATGTACAAAATATGATGAGTCTGTACTTGTGATTTATCATTCCAATCGTATTTTTGGATTTGCATATGCAGGGTGACTCAAAAAAATTAATGAAGGCGTGAATTTATTTTATCGATTTAATCAGGAATTAGAAATCCGAATGCTTTGAAATCTTGGGAATATTTTAAAGTTATTATAAGCATGGTAAACTTTTGTTCAAAATGTATTTGTTCATCCCTCCTAAAAAAATTGATGACGTCACCCTTAAATTTTGCTGAATAAATCCTATCTAAAATGCAAAAAATATGATGAGTTTGTACTTGTGATTTATCATTCCATTCATATTTTTTAGATTTTCTTAAGAGGTGGTTCAAAAAAATTAATGAAGTCAATTTATTTTATTGATTAAATTAAAGGCAACACTTATTATTAGTATTACACCCCAACCAACCCAATTTGGTAGACACAAAATTTGTTAAAGGAAAAACTCGGTTGAAACATAAGGGTAGCACGCTTATTTACATCGACTTTAACATTACAGACCTGCATTTGTTTTATGCGCTCACTTGGTTCCGCGAATGTGAAATAGACATGTTTATAATCAACCAATTGTGAATTTCACCGTCAAGAATTAAAATAAAACCCAATGTTTTATATAATAAGCGGAAGTCGAAGCAATAAAACCGATGGTCGTTTTGTTTACAGTTTCTCTGTTTGACTCTCACGTATGCTGTTACGCCTGTCATCTTAAATTAAGAATGTTTATACATACACGATTTTCAGTTGCCTCTGATACGTATACGTGAGTAAATTGTTTCGTTATTTTATTGATTATTACAAATCAATATTCAAAACGACCCAATTCATTTTCCCGAAAATTTGAGAATATAATAATTTTATTCTTAGTATTACACTACATCTATCCCAACTGATATACGTGTCCTTGCAAAAATGTTGATGACGTCATCGCAATTTTTTTTTTAAATTCCCACTACAAAAATGTAATGAGAAAAAAAACACAATAGGCATGCAGTCGTCAAGTTTCCGACAGCGAGGGAAGTACTGTCTAAACTCTTTAGACCAATTTTTTATATTATGAATATTTCGATTATGCTTCTTAATTCTTCTGTGTTGTTTCTATCTATACCTAATTAATCCAGTTAAAATTACCTTGTTCCACATTCTATTTCAATTTTCTGATGCTCATATTGGTTATATCTTTCCGTATGCCTTTATTTTCTTGTTTTAATTGCTTTTTTCATTTCGCAGTGTCATAATTTCTTCTTGATACTTTTTATGGTGCGTTTTATTTCTCTTACATCCTCCACCAACTCCATCATATAATAAATTCATAACAAATCTTCATGTTAAATCTTTTATACTTAAAAGGCATTAATAAAGTTTGGAGGTCACGTATACATACCCACTCGACGAAATTTTCTAGGAATATTATTGTTTTTACTTTTTTTTGTTGTTTCTTACATTTTTAATAGAGCTCAATATGTGCACACCTATTACATATCTGAAGCTACATCATACGTACTCTACAAAAGCGTTTGTTTTACAGAATAATGACAAGCAGGTAATATTATTTATCAAATGCATTCATTTACCAACGTCACAAGCGAGAGGGAGGAAAAGTTCCTGTCTCCGGAGTTCAGGGCAGAGGTCATTTGGCATAGCATGGAGGGGCGCCAATGCGAGTAAAGAGCACGTCAGACCAATGGGATTAGCGCAGTTCAGCCAATGGCATCGTCGCTCTGCCAGCCACCACGGTTCACAAATCAACCCCTCCACACCGTGGCCAGCTCCTTAAACATCTTAGGCACGCCAGCAAAGAATTATAGTTTTTTAATCAAAACTCGGTCCTGTGCAATTCAACCCTTATAAGGAATGCTAAAAATTCACACCAAAACAGCTTTCAAATGTTCAGATATTTTTACTAAGTAAAACAACATCACGTAAATTTTAAAGTAATATAATTTTTCTGTATCGTATTTATCCATGTGATTGTCTGCAAAAGGATGATTCGGCTGTGGATGAGTGTATGCCGCCGCTGTGATCGAAGAAATTGATGGCGAGGGGTGTATAGGGCGCAGTCGCGTGGTGCGACAGAAGTTAAATACAGGGTAGCGAGCTCTGATCCCGCCCATGGATGATACACCACCTAATGCATGTTACCCCTAACATCGTAATATCGCTCACTTCCATTCACCACCGTTACGAACAAACATCAAGTGACCACTGATGGTCGAATTTGTCGTAATCTTCAGTGCACATTAATCAGTCACTGGATCTATTCTTTTGTGACGTTCAAAATTTGGTAGTTGATTGTTTAGTTCTAACACTCAGAAATTTCCCTATATCTAAAAAAGAGTGGAACGTGTAATAAACATTTTTTATTACTTCACTTCATCACAGCATTAAATAATAATAATTACAATATATTTATTAAAAAGTGTATGCTGTGTTGACTTTTACTTAACGTGTTAAGAAGCACTAAATAATAATGCGATGAAGTATGAAGTCGAATAAACTGCAGATTTGTGTTTATAAATTAAATCGTTTTCTCTGAATACTTTTCTGCGATTGGCGACAACCATGGATTGTTCTGTATCACAAGCGGGTTCACTTCTGCCGTCTTTGCACCAGTCTTGTTCTCCGGAACATCACTCTCATCATCCCAGTGGTAAAGTATATTTTCTTATTTGTTGAATTAATATTTTAATTCTTAAAAGTTAGCATTAAGCATCACCGGAATCTTTAGATAAAAAAACAAAAAAAAAAAGAGTTCAAGTTGCCTCGTGTTACATTGTGATTAGTTGTCATAATTTTTGTACATCGCAGTTGTAAAATTAATAGCCGTCTAAAAGTGAAAACTAGCGTAGTGATAGTGAAAACAATGCTGATACTATCGAACTGGGCAATAAAGAATGCGTAATGAAAAATTATAGGAAAAAATATCAAAATTCTTCGTGTGAAAAGTTCTGGAACACTCAAATCCATGTCGGGTGTCAGAGCAAAATAAAAAGAAATGTATATCTACAATTTTTTACATACGACGGAAAGCCGAAAAATAGACAAGATACTTTTGTTGTATGCGTCGACCACATATCCACAAAAATAATAAAACGAAAGTTTCACATACAAGTTCAACAATTAAATATTTAGTTGTTCATGATAAGACATCAACAACTATATTTGTGTAATAAATACAAAGTATTTTAACACATGGCAAAGAAACAGAAGATACATTACCTAAATTGTAAGCTAACGAACTTAACTTATACTCATATATTATAGCAAACCATATCAAAATCTCAAAAATCGTTATCTACATACGCTCCGCGCCAATTGATTAATCTCACCCCCAATTTTCTATGTTTTAGTAGAATTATTGCTGCTTATTCAAAAATGATTATCTTGGGTTTGAGAGCAAATAAAATAAAGTCATTTACAGATATTGCAGATTTTTTTGTTTTCTAAATTAAAGAAACAACTTTTTATAAAAAAAAAATGCGACAACTGATTAACTTCACCAATAAATTTTTCGCTATTTATCAAAAAATAATAAACTTTGCACTTGAAAACGTTGTCTTTCTAGTTTTTTATTTAAAAACCAGTAAATACCTGTCACTTTAATTCACAAATATTATGTTAAGAATGGATGCCGGTAAAAGGTTGAGTGGTGAAGAAATTGGTAAAATTAAGGTTTTTGCTTTTAGCGTAGAAGAGAAATTGCAAGAAAGATCAATTGCAGCCCTCGTGTTATCAATAATTTTTCAACAATATTAAAAATTATGGGAAAAATTACCATGGGGGAGTAAAAAGAGCGGCTACTCCCAGGGAAAGGGGAAACATTTTGCGTGAAGCGTCAAATTATACTCTAACAGGAAGAAAAATAGGACACTCTGTTGATAGTACAGTAACTGTAAGGACAATTCAAAGGATAATAAAAGGTTGTCAACATCTAAAACGCCGTCGCCTAAGAAAGAAACCCAGTCTAACAGCACGGCATAAGGCAGCAAAATTAACATATGCTAGAAACCATATGGACTGGGTCGACCCGTGGCAAGAAGTAATTTTTACTGATGAAAAATGGTTTTGTTTGGACGGTCCAGATGGTTTCCAACATTATTTCCATCACAGGCTGGTGCAACAAGGGTTTAGGCAGTGACTATATATAATATATAGTCACTGGTTTAGGGAAGAAAATATTCAAGTCTTGGAATGGCCTAGCAATTCTCCAGACTTGAACATCACTGAAAATTTGTGGGGTTGGTTATCCAGAAATATTTATGAAGGACGACAATATCAGAACGCTGAAGCATTAATACCTAAATGCAATTAGAGCTTAGGCTAATATTCCAGAAAGTTTCTTAAATTCCGTATACCTATCGCTCACTTCCAAATCGCATATTTGAAGTAATAAACATATATCATACTCATTATTAAGTGTCATTTTGTTATTAAATAAAGTTGTTAGTTTATGATTTTTTGATAAATAGCGAACATTTTGCTGCGGTGAGGTTAATCAGTTATCGTATTTTTATTAACAATTTTACAAACAAATGTTTTTCTTTAACTAAGAAAACAAAAACAATTGCAATATCCGTATTGTACCTATAATTTATTAGACTGTAACCAATTCACTGCTTGATTAAAATCCTTTGAAATATTATTGATGATGTTTTGGAAATTATGATTTGAGTAACTCAAGGTTGTGTCGTCCGCATAAAGTATCAAATCAGAATGCATTATACAGTTTGGCAAGTCGTTTATATAGATCAAGAATAAAAGAGGCCCAAGTATAGATCCTTGCGGTACACCATGTCTAACAGGACATAGATCTGATTTTGAACCATTAAAATTAACTCTTTGATATCTAGAATATAAATAAGATTGTATTGACTTTATGCTATTGTCATTAAAGTTGTAGTGCATTAATCTGCTAATTAGTATTTCATGGGACACAGTATCGAATGCTTTCGTTAAATCTAAGAACATTGTTAAATAATATTTTTTCTTTTCAAAAGCTTCAATAATTCGTTATGTTTGTGTTGTCGACGAATTTTTCGTAAAACCAAATTAATGTTTAGACAGTAGATTGTTATTTTCTAAATAGGTCGAAAGTTGGTAAACAATTATCTTATGTTGTTTGTTTATGTTAGGTACTGTAGTTGTTATTATCATATTGTTACATATAGTATTACATTTTTAAATTTGACATTTTCTTATTTTTGTTACTTTTGTTTGTAATCTCTGTCGTAAAAGAATATGAGTATTATTATTATTATTATTATGCAAAGGAAGATAAAATCTGACTATCACATATCCAGTATCTGGGGCCAAAATAAGTATATCCACAATATTTACGTTATAAAAAAAAACACAAGAATCCACTAGTAAGGAAACGTTGCGAATGGTAACTCTCATTTCTTCTGCAAGTAGGTACAAAAATTCGGTTCTAGAGAACACTACTTTGGAGCATAATGAGCTACCACGTTTGCCTTACGGAAAAAAAAAACAAAACTTTTTTTAACGGGTCCAATATTAATTCTTCGGAAATGACAATCCAGTTTATTGATAACTGTATTAGTATTTCATTTTTTAGTTAAAACGGATACCTAATGTGATACTAGAAACTTAACATCACCTCTTTTTATTTAATATATCGAAGTCCTATACATAGCAGTCTGTAAAGCAAACTCGATTTCGTTAGCAAAGGGTATTTCTGATGTCCTTTTTATTTGGCGAGCGTAAGCTATAAGGAGTTATTGCAATAGGGCCCATCTGACGAACGGCTACTTTTATGTTTCCTCAACGTTTCATGACCCCTCGAGTTTGAAAAAATAGGTGTGCCACTTTCGTCTTTTTCTCTACCGTCTGCCGCCTCTGTCGATCTTTATTAGACAAATTATTTCCTGATGCAAAAAATTGACCCAATGAAATCATTTAAAATTCTTCATGACAAGAATTGAATTTCACCGACTATTTTCCTCAGAAAATTTCGTCCAATAAAATTGTGAGAAATATCAAATTATAACAAATCATAGGCGACTTACATGAACATTTTTTAGTCAAACACTTATCGATCGATAAGTTCCCAGCATCAACCAATGATAGCATAGTATAAAGCGAACATTTCCCGCATTTACCAATGAAAACACCCTAAATTTTGTAATGATATTAATACATTTTTATTAGTAATGATACCCATTAATAAAAGTAATAAACAAAATTTTTTCAAAAAAATTATTTGTAATAATTAAACACGCAGTTATTATATACAATTTTTGATGGGTTAGCATTTTCATTTAGGTTAACATTATTGTTGGTTCCTTGTTGTTGCTCAAGGCGCATTTTTTCAACGATAGCTGCATGATGATTCGAATTAATTTTCAGGTATGTACGACCGTATAGATGAGACACAACCGTGACCACTAATTTTGGAAATTTGGTTTTCCCCAACAGAAGCGTCAGCTAACTTTGTAACTGATCGATTAGAATGATTGGTATTTTTTCTGTTCTTAAATCAAGGCCAATTTGCATTGCTGCTAGTGAGGTCCATTTTGAAATTTCATTTTTCTCTAAAGGACAATTTTTAAAAAATCCAGAATCTTTCTTCTTCCAGTGGGCATTTGGTGTCAAAAATAGTCTTTTGGACGTGATATGTTTTCCTCTTTTTTCTAATAATTTGCGGTACAATCTGAAACATTAGTAACTTAATTTTATAAAATAAAAATTTGGATTTGGTCACTTACGTAACTGGACATTTGTCAGGATCAGACAAGTTTTGCACTAACCATTTTTTTTCAGCGAGTGGTTTTGCACCACCTTGTGCCGTCTTGCTAAATGGAGGAATAAACGATGCGTCCACCTCTCCATGCTCGTTCATAAGACGGTATATAAAAAATTTTTTGCTGGAGTCCTACCGGAGTATCTTCTTTCCATAAATCTGCCATTTTATTTAGTTCTTCACTTGTTAAACTAGAAGAAGAAGCTCTTCTCGTTTCCGGTTGCTGTTGTAAGGGTTTTCTTTTAGCGTCCCGGGCTTTTCTAGCGCTAGCGAAATCCACATCTTGAAAAGGGTTAAACACAATGTTGTAATTTTCTTTATATTTTTTCTGCAAACTTTTCGCCACTGTATTCCATATCGTCTTAATAAATCCTTCCTTGTAATCTTGGCCGTTCTTTTTTTTTTCGTATTATAACCAAAGTCCTTCATTATGGAAGGTAGTTCAACAACAGAAGTTTCTTGTTTCAAATTATACTTTTTTTTCTTCACAAAAGCTTTCAAACAAGCGCCATGTATACCTATTCTTTAGACTTTTTGGTATTTTCTGGAGTTAAATTGATAATATTTTGGTCTATTTTTTCTAAGGATTCTTCACCAAAACATGTAGAACACATTATTTTGTTGAATTTATAATTTTTGCTGACTTGTTTAGTTTGTTTTGGTTTTTAATTACGACTGTTTTTTACAATTTTATTTATTAAAAATTAGCATATGGCTAAACAATGAAATTTTTGTCAAGAAATAGTCTGCCAAAAGACCCCTCGACCTCGAAAAATTGGCGATAATTTTTTCAAAATTAACAAAATTGATGAAAAATTATCGCCAAGTTTTCTCGGTCTCAGGATCTTACTATTGATAGTTTTGCACTCGTGCAAATTATCGATAATTTT